TTTTGGGATATAATAGTCAGAAAATCCAAAAAGTTTTTTGAATTTCGCAAAAACCGGAATATATGTGATAGTCCTTACCGCCTTCCATCCACATACCAAATTTTAGATTGATACCTCTTTTTTTGGCGAAGTTATAGCGAAAAAACTGTTCAAAATTGATGACGTTAAATTTTCAAACTCAATTTTTTAGCAATTCTAGACCTCGTAGTGCAAAACAAAGACCACCATTAGACTCCCCGCGACGAGCTGCATCGAATCGATACCCATTTTATGCAAAAATATCAACTTTGAAATTTGACCTTTTTTGACCTGACCTTGACCTGACCTCCACCAGAAAGTGACCTAAACCGTACCTGATGGTCTTATAACCAACACCATTGGGTTGGAAATGAAAAACTGGCCATAAAACATGCATCGCACAACCTTAGTAAAGTTGGGTTCATGTGGTGACCCTTGGTGACCTTTGGTGACCTGACCTGTGACCTGACGTGGTATGACCAGTGACCTCTAATAGCAACATATGTACTAGACAACTGACGTCTTATCGCTGATTTTCGACAAAATGCGCTTTACTCGGTGTTATAGCGCTTTCCCTAGAAGCCCCGTGAACGGTGAAACATTTTATCTTTGACCTGACCTGTGACGTCATCGGTGACCCCGAGGTCAATAAAATTTGGTTTCCCTCGACAAATTTGACAGGGCTATCGAACGCCGTTTGAATTTTGCGGATCCGTCCAGTAGTTTCGGAGATACGAGGGGGGGGGGGGCAAAAAATAGCCCCCCCACCAGGTCGCGTTATAAACAGACCCCACCAGGGCGCGGGTTAATATAACTCTTATATTAACTACAATTGAGCAGAAAAAACATCACAAAAGCGTAATATCGTTTATTTTTCTAAAACGATATTACGCAAAACCCGCAAACACGCAAAAAACGCACGCAGAAAACGCATAGTGTAGCCAGGCCTTAAGACCAGCAGATAGAAGCGATAGACAAAGTTCAATGTTTAAGGCGGATAACAGATGTACAAATTAATTGTCTCATTAGTCATTATCATTGCAGGAATGGTGTTCGTGCGGCACCAACGGCACAAATAATTCCAAAATTATCCCACGGTGGATCGGCTGTTGTTTACACCGTCTCCCTATAGTCCTTCGCCCTCCGCGAGAGGACGAGGTGACCTAATCTCCGGTGTCTCATGGCTCTCTGTGACTTGTGAGTGGACAAGGTGACCCCTCTCCCTGGCTCTCTGTGAGAGGAAGAGGTGACCCCTCTCCCTGGCTCTCTGTGAGCGGACGAGGTGACCCGTCTCCGGCGTCCCAGGACCGGCCTGAGAGGAGGGAGCTGGGAGTACCGGCGGCACTGTTTGTGTCTGGTACACGGGGTACGGCTCCCAGCACGGACTGGGAGACCGGAGAGGACCGGGTACACTGGCCGAAACTGAGACCGAGCCGCCCCGAACGCCGCCGGGCCGTCACAGGCCGCGCGCGGGCTTCATTTGGTGTTCTGAAGGGCATTGAGTATATGGACACAGAGGCATCGCAACTGTTTAATTGCTTGAGAAGTACAGCATCGGTAGCTTGTGTTTTGTACTTTGAGAGAGGAAATGTGGAAACAACTCTTTCCACGCGACAATGGACGGGGGAGCGACGTCACTGTTATCACTGAATAAAATAATAATAAATAAATAAAACAATGTAAAGGAAGTCACTATAAAGGACTGAACGAAAATGTCAATTGTTTTGAATGGATTGTAAAAAGACTGAAAGCGTTTTATAAGAGTAACCTATTGACTTTTACCACACCCAGCTAGCTTTTCAAATTTACGAGCTAAGGCGTCGCTTGCCATAATTATCTTACTTAGTCGAGCAAATAACACAATTTCACTTCGAAAGACCTTTGGTGCGTGACGGCATCTTTTAATCTTCGTAATAAATAATAAAAAAAACTCCCGATAAAATATCTAACAAGCATTCATATGTGCTCGCCACTTCTACAGACTCTACGCAATAGGTTTTCTAACTAGATCTCCGGGTTTATACCAATTCCGTTCTGAGTTCGCTTAGGCACGTCGGTCCGTACACACTGCACTCTTGTATATCCTATATATAAGTTTTTGTTCCTCTTATCTACGTGTGTATTTCTAGATTTTGAGACGACAGTATGAAGCTGACAAATGATCTCGGTCGCTGTCGGAGCCTTTTGTCTCCGTTTTCTCTTCCCATCTTCCTCCGCGTTCATTTTCATTGACGTCATTTCACCCGATAGAGATCAGCAGAAGGGACGCCGCTTTTCAGTCTACGGACGTCCCAAGGTCACTGACGCACAAACAAGGTCATTCAAGGCATTCAGGCTCAGAGGGGACATTCCATGGCGGCCATGGATGAGCGCGCATGGATACCGGACAACGCGCGGGCGCAGAAATTCGAGCGAACTTAGACGAATGTGGGCCATAGATGGGTGGAATTTGACAACGTTCTAAGAATACCTAGAAGAAAGCAGCCGGTTAGATCACTCGAAAGCAGGAAGGACAATGGCTTCAAAGTGCGTAAATTACTTCTTTATACATGACATTTAAAGCATCTCGCGGAGGAAAGCCCATATTTCACTATCAGAGCCCATATCTTTCTTAGGGAACGTGCATGTTTCAGCCAGTGAAAAGGTTGACAATAGCCGTTTTCACGACGGCTATCGTACACATTTGGTGCAGATTTGGTCAAATTAGGTGCATATCTGGTCAAATTAGGTTCATTGTGTTTCTAAGAAGTTATCCCGCGCCCCACTGGGGTCTGTGTATAACACACCCTACTGGGGGGGGGGGGGGGGGCTATTCATAGCCCCTTCCCTCCTAACTCCGAAACTACTGGGCCGATCGTCAAAATTCAAACGGCATCTGATAGCCCCGGAAAAACTGTCGAGCGAAACCCAATTTCATTGACCTCGAGGTCACCAATAATGTCACAGGTCAGGTCAAAGTTAAAATTATCGATATTTGGCTTATTCACATTTTGGGCTCTGGCTACCGTCTTACAAGTCAGATCAGGCTGATTTTTGGTTTACACACTCGTGAACAGATGCTTTAGATACCCTGAGGGTACCAAACTTGTAATTTGATTTTCAGGTCAGAGTCAGGTCATCATAGGTCACGGAAATCTTATGTCATAAGTCGGTCACGTGACACATGTTTTCTGGTCTATTTAGGCCATATATTTCGAATTCGGTGTCGCCTGTGTCATTTGAGGCCATTGTCATCAAAATATAGCTGAGGTCAGGTCACTTTCAGGTAAAAAAAGGTCAAATTTCAAAGTTGAAATTTTTCAACAAAAAAACATGCCTATCGGATGCAGTTTGAGCTCAGGAAGACGACGGTGCTATTTATATTGGTGTACGATGTCAACTTCGTACAGAAAAAAATGATTTGAAAAATTTAAAATTGTGATTTTTTTGTATAATGCGTACCTATAACTTGGCCATTTTTGAAGATATCTGGCTAAAACTTGCTAGAGTAGGTCATAAGCATGTGTTCTATCATATATATTCCGTTTTTTCGAAGTCAAAACGTTTTTGAAAAAAGATAATACAAATTTTGAATTTTAGTATAAATAATTTTCAAAATTTTGAATATTTTGAAAATTTGAGATAGCAGTTTGATAGCGCAGTCCATTCTGAGTCCCCTCATGCAAAGAAATTGGATCTAGCTCAAAAACTGAGCTCTTGGGAGCGATTCCCGTGGCTCAATGTTTTGCATCGAAATCGGCCGAACATAACGTCACTCTGACGTCATTTCCGGCCGATCTATGATAGATACGAAGTTCAAATTTTAACAAAAGGTGTCAAATTGATGCAGCCGAAGGTACTGAAAGTTTGGCGGCGATACGTCAAGCGGTTTAGAAGTTATTGCAGAAAAACGGGAGGGCGCTATGAATAGCCCCCAGTGCAGTGGGACGCGGGTGTTCAGTTTGGGTGCACAGTTGATTATATAATTATATATATATAACGATGCAGCGCCGTAAAACTTGGTATGGCTTATCATACATTAATTTTGTATCGAGTGTAAAAGTTTTGACACCAGGTTGTAGGTAGAGGCATGATTACTTATATAGAACTTGTGACTTGACCCTGGGTGACAAGAGGTCAAGATCTTCCCAACGCTACAAAAATGATGTGTGCTCCGTAAGCAAATGCTTATACCAACTTTGCAGAGGGCTGCGGTTGTCAAGACATGCAAAAAACAAAACCAGCAATGTGGCCAAAAAAAGCCCCTACCACACTACCGCGAAAGCTAACGGCTTCAGCATCGTGACGTTTTGTCAACGAAAATGCCAACACAGGATTTCATCTTTCGATGAGGGGCTGTATTGCTTGTTTTTTCTTTATTATTTAGAGAAAGTTGGCTTCTGCTGTTTTTATGAAAGCACTATTCCGCGATTTCATCGAAAGGAACGAAGAGGGACAATACATATTGCAAATCAATACTTACGGTGAATGCAGTTATGGAATGGTGCTCTACATTTTAAGCAGCAGGGTTCACAGACAGGGTTCATGGGGGCCAGCAATGTAGGTCAGCCACCACTTCGGCCGTTCATTCGGACAATCCATGCGCCTGACATCACGGTCGACACTTCCGTTCAAACCCGCTCTCAGCACTGTATAGTCGACAACAGAATGATGTTCCACTCCTCAGAAGCTATCAGTTGACCGGAGCACTAAGTTGTGCCGTTTATCACGCAATTAAGCGTGTCGATTGTGAGCAATGAGCATTGTGACAAAGCTGTAATTTGTGAACTCAGCCCGTGTGATGCGGCACAGCCTACCACTCCAGGCAAATAATTGCCTGCGAAAAGTGGAACATCATTCTGTAGTCGACTAAACACAGTACAATCGAGCTGCTTTGCGCTCAGAGTCCTGCCTACAATCCCTCCTACTGCGCCATTTTAGGATGCTGCAGCGCAGTGCGCACTGAGGTGTGCAGCCGGCTAGGCTGTGCTAGTTTGTCTCACCTGTCACGAGATGCACTCGTTGGCGATCAGCTGCGATCGGCCGGGCAGACACGGCCGTGGGGCGCTCCGTGGAGCCCCTGGTAGACCGGGCGGTCCTGGCCAGCCCCAGCCCACGGTCCTGGCAGCCCCAGCTCACGGTCCTGGCTACCCTAGCCCACGGTCCGCTGAGGTAGCTGAGCTGATCGGCAGCAGCGCCGGCTCTGATCGTCCGCCGCCGACCGGCCGCGACTGCCGGGCAGGTACTGCGGGCGCCTGCTCACCGGTCGGCCCGGCCGCCGGCGACTGATGGTGCGTCCGCACAGAGGTGTCCCCGGCGAGTGTCCCGCGCCGCCCGCCGCCCACCGCCCGGCCGGTCGCACAGTCACCACCCGGCCCTCGCCTCCGGTGACACCGACCAAACAGATGAGAAGGGACGGACAGGGACGAATGGGAACAGAATGGCCGTCGACGAGGGCCGTGGATGGGATGGGGTGTGATGGAACGGTCTCTCAGCTATGGTGGGACAGGGTGTAGCACAGTCTCTCAGCTATGGTGGGACAGCTTGTGGGACGGTCTCTCAGCTATGGTGGGACAGCTTGTGGGACGGTCTCTCAGCTGTGGGACAGCTTGTGGGACGGTCTCTCAGCTATGGTGGGACAGCTTGTGGGACGGTCTCTCAGCTGTGGGACAGCTTGTGGGACGGTCTCTCAGCTATGGTGGGACAGCTTGTGGGACGGTCTCTCAGCTATGGTGAGACAGCTTGTGGGACGGTCTCACGGTATGGTGGGACAGCTTGTGGGACGGTCTCTCGGCTATGGTGGGACGGCTTGTGGGACGGTCTCTCAGCTGTGGGACAGCTTGTGGGACGGTCTCTCAGCTATGGTGGGACAGCTTGTGGGACGGTCTCACGGTATGGTGGGACAGCTTGTGGGACGGTCTCTCGGCTATGGTGGGACAGCTTGTGGGACGGTCTCTCAGCTATGGTGGGACAGCTTGTGGGACGGTCTCTCGGCTATGGTGGGACGGCTTGTGGGACGGTCTCTCAGCTATGGTGGGACAGCTTGTGGGACGGTCTCTCAGCTGTGGGACAGCTTGTGGGACGGTCTCTCAGCTATGGTGAGACAGCTTGTGGGACGGTCTCACGGTATGGTGGGACAGCTTGTGGGACGGTCTCTCAGCTGTGGGACAGCTTGTGGGACGGTCTCTCAGCTATGGTGGGACACAGGGGCGTCGCCGACGGGGGGGGGTCGGGGGGGTCGTGACCCCCCCCCACTCTTGAAAACTGGGGGTGTCGACCCCCCCCCCCCCACTTTTTGCGATGCTGAGTATGCTTTTTTAGCTTTTATGTCAGTGAAGCAGGCGTCAGCAACACCAACAAATACATCAGATTCAAAATCACTTCAAGAGCTCCCTAAAGCCAATTAGCCAATTACCTAAAGGCCATTAGCTGTGGGCGGGGAACACCAGCACAACAATGTTTTTAAGTAGCCCCCATCCTAGTACCTTGTTATCCCTCAAAGGATTGGACGCGCCAAAACTGCCCCGAGCGTTCGTCTGATCGTTTTAAAAAAATGGTCGCAGTCGATTCGTCGGATCAGTACCTAACTACAAAACTACAAACTAGCCTCAGCCCCATGGCTACCGTCACAACTAGCTGTACAGTCAGTGGCGCGGGAACCGGGGGGGCTAGGGGGGGCTCATGGGGGGGGGGCTGAGCCCCCCCAGCTTTTCGGCTGGGGGGGCTCGTAATGTATTTGAGCCCCCCCCCCCCCCCCAGCTGGAGGAATCGAAATCGGAAATCTACCAACATAATTTCATAGATTCATACATAGGCGTGGGAACCGGGGGAGGGGGCAGTGGGGGAAGCTTGCCTCCACAACTCTGCGGCCGTGGGGGCGGTGCCCCACAACGTTTCATGAGGCCAGGAACCGTTGGGCAGCTTGTCCTCCCCAAATTAGGGGTTGTGGGTCACAAAGGAAGAAAGCATGTATGTGAAAAATCCACCTATTTCACTGGCTCGGCAACTCATTTGGCAGATTAAAACCTTTACTCCAGGTTGCCAAAACGATAGTTTCTTCACTCAGCTGAGACGGAATACCTCATTTTTGAAAATATTTTCGTTTTTTTTTTTTGTTGAAAAGGCCAAGGTCTGAAAAATAAGTGGCCTAAAACCGGTGAGAAAACTAGATTTGGGGGTACCCTAGGTTGATTTCTATTATGGTTCAGCCCCCCCAGTCTGGAAGAAGTTCCCGCGCCACTGTGTACAGTGCACATGTAGGGGAAAGGGAGTCAAATGGAACCGTCTCGGGCTTTCGCAAAGAAGTCGCGCAAAAAGGAGCCGATTGCAACAAAACTTCCGGTGCGCTCGAGTTAATCACCTACTTAAAATAAATCGATATCCCTGATTCAAATAAAGATGACCTTAGTTCACTTTTTCATAACGTGCTTTTAATTGATAGGGTAGTTTTTGGAGCTGATTTTGAACTTGGCGCCCATCTGAACATTTAAGAAGTAGCTGTGTTGCTTATTCATATAACATGCTAGGAAGCAATCGGTGGTGGTCATCCACTATTAGGTACTGCCTACTGGTCGATCTGACCTGACCTGATCTACCCCAAATGCATGGAGTCATCATCTTCGTTCAAAACTAAGATAACATTCGTAATCAGAACCTCGAAAAACCATCACCACTTACATTCGTTAAGTTCTAGCAGGTCCCGAGTTTCTCTACTTATTGGCGATGACCTGAGTCCTGAGATGACCCGAAAACTTGTAAATGGGTATCATCGGCTTTCTCTCGTCACGGGCAGCATGCTCTTTTTTCCGCAAACCTGTAGATCGATCAGGGGTCGAAAGCATGCCTCAGCGTTAGTTTAGTATACGTTATACGTTAGTGACTGGGAAACCACCAATAGAAGGGCTACAGTGAAGCAGAAAACTATTCGATAGCTCTTTTAACGCTCTTTCGCTAGCTTCGCGTTAGATTTCATCTCAGGTCTATGTTTGGCCCATAAGAAGGCAAACAGCTAACTGGACAGATTCTACCGAAACATCTGCTTTGCAATAACTTTCGATTCCGTGAATTTGTATGGTATGTAACCGCAGGTTGTTTGAAAAGACAAACACTATTCGTTAGAATTGTGTTTTTCTATTGAAAAACAACCGGAGCGGTCCTTCTCCGGGCTATGTTTTGCATGTCTGGCCGCGAATTGGGGCAACTTGGGTCAGGCCTAAACTTGTGGCTCGATTTTCTTAAAAATTTCAGTGTATGGGCTCCCGCAGGCGATCTACCTGATGGCTTCGGTCGCTACTCGCTTAAAACCTCGTGGCACGTGGCACGTGCGATTCCATTTTCCCCATGTTAAGTCAATGGGGTTTTGGACACTTTTTGCGCGATCGCGAATAGCGGGAAAACGAGCCAAGGAAGAGGTGGTTTTCTTCCCAGCATTTTATGGCAAACACGTTTGGGTACACGCTAGTGTGCGCCGTATACCCCTCAGAACTTCGTAACGTGACTTTGCACGAGGTCAAAGTTGAACTTTTTTCGCTCCCCATGTTAAGTCAATGGGCATTTTTGCAGAGACTTTTTCATTCGCTCATTGTACAAAATTATATGATACGATTTTGTTTAAACTTCCAGGACTTGTTGAGAAAAGACCATAGAACATGTTGTTATGCTTCTTTAAGCTGTGCAAATTCGTTTGTTCTTTTTAGGCTCGTTTAAAAATGAAAAATTTTAACATGGAAAGTCAATGGGAGCGTCTTTGCTGCTTAATAACTTTTTACAGTTGAGATATATTTATGTGAAAAGTTGATAGGTTATACAACTTTTGATGCTCTTTCCAATGATATATACAACTTTATTGCACGTGGTGCCGTTTTTGAGAAATATAGTAAAAAAGCACGACATTACCGAGATTTGAGCTCAGACCTATATCGTTACGGTGTCAGGCGGACACGAGGACAGGTGGCGCCGCCGCCGCCCGCATAGCGGCGGGAATGTGAACTAACCTGTTTACCATCTATGGTATGGTACCATCGGGGGACCGGCCGCCGTCGGCACCATTTCGGGACTTTGCATCGCAATAAAAGGCTTATTTACAATTGAAAATGGACTAGCGAGAGTCGTTATGGAATCAGAATTTGATGCTCTACAAAACTAGGCTATTTTCATTGTGATGGCATCACAGACTACACCGCTAAACCCAATAAAGCAGATTTATGTCGCGTCATCGATGATTACATATAATGTATCATTCTTTGATATATATGTAGTCGGGTCTTTCAGCTGCGTCCCTCCCCTCCCTCGCCGCGCCGGCGGGTCGGCCATCCGTGGCTTGCCGCCCGCCGGCTGCTGGCCGGTCAGCTGGCCGGTCAGCTGGTCGCCCGCGGCTGTCGGTGCAGTGCGGGATGCCTACTTGCGGGGGGGGGGGGGCCGTCGTGGCGGCGGCCCGGGTGGACTGGGCGAGCAGTGAGTTGGGGAGCGCTGCGCTGTCGGTGCTCTAGTTTGTATTGCGTTCGCATGATACGGCTTGAGCCAATACAGAGTGAACTGATTGAGCTGAGCAAGTCTTTACATACATTGAAAAGTAAAGCACTTTTTACTGCATCTACGGTGAGATGCTAGATAAAATTTATGGTCTACCTAATGGTACCCATTACTTAACAATTAAGTGAATCATTTCGTCGCTAAACTCTCGTAAATTCGTATGTCCGCCTCACTATGGAGTTTGGACCGTAACGTATGGCCTTTGCTCAGACAGTATACGAACAGGTGACGGGGATACCTCTAATAGAAGGATGCGACACGATTTTACTGCTAAATAGCGGCCGGCCGCCGTGGGGACGTTTTTGTACGACTTATATCTCGGCAACCACTGGGCTGATACACGTGCGGTTTTTTTGTGTGGGGTAGCTTTTTCCCTTCTTTCACATAGTGTGCTACTCTCGATGCATATGGGTGACCCCTAACGCACGTTCCACGTGCAAAGCCAAGAGGTGCCTGTTTTGTAATAAGCGCAATAGCTCGCGGTAATTACTGGGCCGATTGCGCTAAAACTTGGCATGGAGGTAGACACTTTCCAGGCGATGCATTTCCATGTGTCTTGGTAGGGGTGCAACTGCACGTGCGCACGTGCAGGGTGACGCTTCCAGATCTCGAGAACGGCTGGACCGATTGTGTTCAAATTTGGCATAACGCTTGATACCGATCAGTAGGTTGCAGTCATTTAGTATGTATTTCCATGTGCCACGATTGGGGTGCAACTGCACGTGCGCACGTGCAGGGTGACGCTTCCAGATCTCGAGAACGGCCGGGCCGATTGAGTTCAAATTTGGTACACCGCTAGAGACCGATTAGTAGGGTGCCGTGCGCAAGTCAGTTTGGACCCATCTTGCACGTGCGCACGTGCAGGGTGACGCTTCCAG